GCCGTGGCAGTTTTACTTTTCTTTTGGAGACAAAAGTCTTTTGAATATTTATTTTCTTGCAAGAAAAGTTCAACAGTCATACAGTCATCCTAGTTGACTGCAGAGTGCGACCAAGAGCAAGAGGCAACACCCCAACTCAACATTTATACCTTATACCTTAGTAGCCAGGACGTCTAAAATAAAATTTCTGTCTCACACACTTGTCTTGCACAAATAGATTTCTTGTTATCTCTCAGCTCATCAAATACTCAAGCATACTGAAGCAAACTGAAGCACTCAGAGACAGTCTAAAGAACATTTTAGTACAGTGAAGCAAATAATATAAATATTTCAGATAGAAATAACATTTCCTCCATATATATATATATACACACACACACACAATAGTTCCGGTTAGACTCCTGTAACAAGTGACAAGGAAGAGTTCTTAATTAATTTAGTAACGAAACAAGTTACTATCTTTGATTCATTCACTAATTCAAAAACATTAATTCATTCATGAGTATACAAGCAATATTAAATCACAATGCACCTGAATCATTTTAGGCCCACTGTTTATTTAAATGATCATTTTGAATGTAATGTGACATATAAACATCGTGATTTTTTTTTCTTTGCAGCCCTATTTACCTCCACAACCGGCCTTTCCAGTGAGTACTATTATCAGCTCATACTGCATACTGCATCTCATTGTTGCGATAAAACTGCAATGTCTTTTGAATTAATTTTGTATATTATCTTTCCAGGGTTATATAGCACCTCAAGCAAGATATCAGGTGAATATATGTTTGAACGACATTAAATAAGGACATTATTGTAGTTTTCCTGTCATAAACAACTGTTCCTTTCATCTACAGCCTCAGTATGCTGTACCTCCAGGATGTGGGGTAAGTGGTTAATACGTCATGAAATATGTCATGTGACACCTCTATGATGATCAACAGAGATCAAAGGTTCTTACCTTTGAAGGTTATATGTTTGTCTTTTATGATATAATTGGTGCTCTACAAATCTCACACAATGCTTTATTGGATTCTACAACCATTAAAAGATCTGCAACATGTAAATGAAAGGTTGGGAAAAAAATGCTAATGAAGAAACTACTAGAAAGACAATATACTTGTTTTTCCTCGTTCGGTGTGGCATGACAGGGTTAAATGTGTAAACTATGGCTCCAAAACAGGATGGCATCTACTTCACCTCTGCCAAATGTCAGTGCACACAACTTCCTGTTTTAGTTCATGTCAGCATTTAGAAAACTCCATCGTTCAATGTTATCTGTGTTTAACAGTGCTATTATTTGTGATGTTGTTTATAATTAATAAGGAATCATTTATTTTATATTGTACTGATGTTCTGTGTTGAAAGTGCTCACTAAGATGCTGTGTTATTTGATCAAGTGCAACATTTCCAGTCTCCCATATCTTTCAGTAACAGTTACGAGGTCACATTGTGTTTGTTCTGTATGAGGAAGTGATACTAATACAGTGTTTATCTACCCACAGTTCCCAGCATACCCTTCTGCACCCAACTATGTAAGAGCAGCTCTCACCACAGGAAATCACATTACCATTACACAGCTAAAAGTCATGCATGAAGCGATTCAGATTTTTTATTCTATTTTATTTTGCTTGAGTACATGTGTTCATGACCTTTGATGGCCACTCTAGGACATTCACCTTTCTGTCCTTCTCTTTTTGCAATAATTCCTGCAGTTTTTCTTCATTAACTCCTTTTGCATTTTTAGTAAGATTTTGATTAATTCATTCATTATTTCATTTTAGATTCGCTTATTTAGGTTTGCATTTAAAAGTTCTAGATGTTGTTCATAAAACCAGTGTCACTTTCATTTTAATCAAACATTTGAATAAGTATTACATGACTTTAATTTAACTAATCTTTCATTTATAATTATCTCTTTATTTTGACTCACATTTAGACTATCCCGTACAAAACTGTCATTAATGGTGGACTTCACCCTGGCAAAAACATTGTCATCCAAGGAGTTATCAACCCCAGTGCTAGCAGGTTGGACAACAGATGACACACACTGTTATTTTAATTATAACTAATGTAACATATTTAAAAAAAAAATGTAAATCTGTTCATTGTAAGATGTAAGATGTTTTCTCTTCTGTTTCCTCCATTAGAATAACATTTAACCTGCGCTACAGAAGTGGTATTGCATTTCACTATAATCCTCGTTTTGATGAGAAACTGGTTGTGCGCAACACCAATCAGATGGAGCAGTGGGGTACGGAGGAACGGTCCGGTGGCTTGCCCTTTCAAAGAGGACAACCTTTTCAGGTAGGCAGACATACATCCATGAACATGCATTGCTTTATTGATGCTGGTAAATGCTGTCATTGTGACTTGAAAATAATATTACTTGTGTGTTTTGTATGTGTGTTGCAGGTCACCATCTCCTGCAATCCCCATCATTACAATGTGTTTGTCAATGGCCAACAAGCACACACTTACAAACATCGCTACACAAAGCTGAACGACATTGATATTTTGGAGATTTGTGGAGATCTGCAGCTGACTTTAGTGCAGGCTTAACAGGGATTTGTGATGTGTAATTTGTAAGGGAAAGCATGGCAAATTGTTAAAAAGTAGAATTGCTTTCAAATACAGCAAAATGGCTGACTGTAAACGAACAGCACTGTGATTTTGCTATTTCGAATTAACATAAAACCCTTTATACTGTGTTTAACTTTCTGTACAATTCTTTATTATGCAATATGCATATTATGCATATGGTATTACAGTATATAGTTGCCTATCTCTATATAACCGTCTTGAAATTCTCATCAGCCTTGCTGCATGTTTAAACTAATAAACTACTAACACAAATAAACAGCATGTTATATCAAAATATTCCAATGAATATTCCTTATATATCTGTCCAAAATGACATTAATTAAATATAAATATATATATAGGCCTATATTTATTCAAAATCGTGAAATGAATGGCGCTATTGATGATTGCAATGAAAACATTTTTGGTGTTTCCCAACCAGTCCTAATAATATTTTAGCAAGCGTAAACTGTATTCGACATGTATGCAGGTAGGCCTATATTTACCTAGGCTCTTTCTAAAGATATATGCAGCTTACTTTAGCTTAGCCTATATGTGCCTGTAAAGACTCCCTCTGGTTCACACAGAAGGCGTTTTTCCATTCCACAACGCCACATTATCAATGTTTTTCAATGTAAACACACGCTAGCCTAGGGGTGTCAAACTCAATTCCTGGAGGGCCAGACCCCTGCAGAGTTTAGATTCAACCCTAATTAAACACACCTGATCCAACTAATTAAGTCCTTCAGGCTTATTTGAAAACTACATGGTATGTGTGTTGGAACAAAACTGGGCTCTGGCCCTCCAGGAATTGAGTTTGACACCCTTGCGCTAGCCGGACATGTTTGCTCTTTGCGTTTGCGTCATGTGTTTTCGTATATAGGGTGTTCTAAAATCACAGCACTCAAGTTAGAATAAGTTTATCTTTTAAAAAACGAGTCTCGAGATCTTACCTTCTCCTCCGTTCCACTGCATTTTCAAAGTGGAAAACATGTTCTTTGTGGATGCCCATCTACCATATCCTTCATAATAATATTATTTCTTGTGTGTTTATTAATCAAGTTATTGATCAGTATTTAACCTCCTAGATTGTTTGATGATTGACGTAGTTCCATGCTGAAGTCTATTCTGTTCCTAGGGTCACAGTGCCATGATTAGGTCAGGGTGACCTCCCATCTACGTGAGCGACAGTGATTGGGACAACTGTGACATTTATGTGTTCTGCTGTTTTATGATATTGCTTGCAACTTGCTTATTGAGCAATTTAACTGGTAGTTGCATAATAAATATTAAATAATCCTGCGTTATTCTGTATTTTTACTCTCTAAAAAGAGACAGGCATAGTGTGTGTGATATATGTAATGAACCATGCTTAATGCTGATAAGATTCTCGCCAGAGCCAGGCCACCTTGAACAGAAGATAAGTTTTCTCTGCGTGTGTCGGCATCTTTTCCTGAGTAAGTGGAGAAGCTCGTCATCGGATGCCCCTCTGATCAGGAATAGGTCTCTGGAGATACCTGTTTTGTCAGACTCCTGATCTCTATAGCCTAAATAATCACTTAAGAGATATGTATTGACGTAATTAGTGACCTCTGTTAGAGTATAATTGGTGTTTTTGACATGTATGCAGAACGGCCTACTAACTCCATTGCGAGTAATGAAGCTGACTTCTGCTGATGAAACTGCAAACTATTTTCTTCAGTAAATTTTTCTTCAACTGATTGCATCTCTGACTCCTGGTCTTCATTCAACACCTGGTCCTTGGGTTTTAACTGTAAATTCCCCTATAAGGATATCCGTAAACGTTCCCGTAACATTGTAGGGAGTTTTTTTAATGTATTTTGGGACAACCTAGTAGTATGGTTATATTTGTTTTATTTCCTCATTCCAATGAACGATGAATGTTTGTAGAATATTACAGAGAAGTTTTGCTAACAATAACTTACATTAGTGCATGCAGCACTACATCCAATGAAATGTGCAAAATGAAGATCACGGATATGTAGTTTGCTGCCAGAAGGAATTGTAATGATCAGATAAATGTCATAATGAAAAAACGGAGCCACAGAGTTGAAACTTTTTTTATTTTATTTTTTACTCTTGGAAACATAAGATCTGGGCAGATTACAGCTTGTGGAACAGTAATAGATGAATGTTCCAGTTAACTTTACATATTAATAGATGATTTCAATCTTAATATTTACACTGTTTATTGAAGCAGCCTAACATTGCAGCATGGTTACAGGAAAGTTAAGGAGCATTATCCTAATTATCCACAACCTAAAACAATTGTTTATTTAATATTTAATTTGTTTTAGGAATGCTCTGAGAACCAAAAGCTTATTTTCCTAAAATGACCAGAACCAAAAAATGTGACAGTTTTTGTCCATTTTTCTCTGAGAGTGTATGTTTCTGCTCTTATCCAGGTTTGCATTTTAGTTATCTGGCAGACAGCACGTCTAGGTAATTTCCAGGTAGGTATAGGCCTATCTACCAAAAAGCACAAATATTCCTCTGTATACCTTAGATATCCACCAGTGTTTGTGTCCCTCACACCTCATGCATTTTTGGTCATATTATCAGGCATCATGTTCTTCATTATCACTGTTACGCCAACAGTAGTCTACATGACTGTCACTGGACCATTGTTTTCTGCCTTTACCATTGTTTTCATTTTAGCTGTCTGGCAGACAATATTTCAAGGTAGATTTCAGTAATTTCCAGGTAGGTATATCTACACAGAATTGTATATAAACTATGTATAATAAATGGGTGGGCTTAAAATCACAGATATATTTAGGCTACTCAACATCAAGCTTTACCATCCTTGGCGCTCCAACCTTGGTCTTGAATACCCAGCTGAAGATTTGCATTGAGACTGCTAAAGAATAAGAATTGGCAGAATGGCAGATTGTCAGCAACAGATGGCAATTTATAAACCCATAACCCTAACCCTAAACCAGTAAGTGATATTTTTTATATTAGCCTCTATAATGAGGTTTCATGTATAGTTATAGACAATAACCTATATATACACTAATCAGGCATAACATTATGACCACTGACAGGTGAAGTGAATAACACTGATTATCTCTTCATCACTGCACCTGTTAGTGGGTGGGATATATTAGGCAGCAAGTGAACATTTTGTCCTCAAAGTCGATGTGTTAGAAGCCAGAAAAATGGGCAAGCATAAGGATTTGAGCGAGTTTGACAAGGCCCAAATTGTGATGACTAGACGACTGGGTCAGAGCATCTCCAAAACTGCAGCTCTTGTGGGGTGTTCCTGGTCTGCAGTGCTCAGTATCTATCAAAAGTGGTCCAAGGAAGGAACAGTGGTGAACCAGCGACAGGGTCATGGGCTGCCAAGGCTCATTGACGCACGTGTGGAGCGAAGGCTGGCCCGTGTGGTCTGATCCAACAGACGAGCTACTGTAGCTCAAGTTGCTCAAGAAGTTAATACTGGTTTTGATGGAAAGGTGTCAGAATACACAGTGCATCACAGTTTGTTGCTGGCAGACAATATTTCAAGGTAGATTTCAGTAATTTCCAGGTAGGTATATCTACACAGAATTGTATATAAACTATGTATAATAAATGGGTGGGCTTAAAATCACAGATATATTTAGGCTACTCAACATCAAGCTTTACCATCCTTGGCGCTCCAACCTTGGTCTTGAATACCCAGCTGAAGATTTGCATTGAGACTGCTAAAGAATAAGAATTGGCAGAATGGCAGATTGTCAGCAACAGATGGCAATTTATAAACCCATAACCCTAACCCTAAACCAGTAAGTGATATTTTTTATATTAGCCTCTATAATGAGGTTTCATGTATAGTTATAGACAATAACCTATATATACACTAATCAGGCATAACATTATGACCACTGACAGGTGAAGTGAATAACACTGATTATCTCTTCATCACTGCACCTGTTAGTGGGTGGGATATATTAGGCAGCAAGTGAACATTTTGTCCTCAAAGTCGATGTGTTAGAAGCCAGAAAAATGGGCAAGCATAAGGATTTGAGCGAGTTTGACAAGGCCCAAATTGTGATGACTAGACGACTGGGTCAGAGCATCTCCAAAACTGCAGCTCTTGTGGGGTGTTCCTGGTCTGCAGTGCTCAGTATCTATCAAAAGTGGTCCAAGGAAGGAACAGTGGTGAACCAGCGACAGGGTCATGGGCTGCCAAGGCTCATTGACGCACGTGTGGAGCGAAGGCTGGCCCGTGTGGTCTGATCCAACAGACGAGCTACTGTAGCTCAAGTTGCTCAAGAAGTTAATACTGGTTTTGATGGAAAGGTGTCAGAATACACAGTGCATCACAGTTTGTTGCGTATGGGGCTGCATAGCCGCAGACCAGGCAGGGAGCCCGTGCTGACCCCTGTCCACTGCCGAAAGCGCCAACAGTGGGCACGTGAGCATCAGAACTGGACCACGGAGCAATGGAAGAAGGAGGCCTGGTCTGATGAATCACATTTTCTTTTACATCACATGGATGGTCGGGTGCGTGTGTGTCGTTTACCTGGGGAGCACATGGCACCAGGATGCACTATGGGAAGAAGGCAAGCTGGCGGAGGCAGTGTGATGCTTTGGGCAATGTTCTGCTGTAAAACCTTGGGTCCTGCCATCCATGCGGATGTTACTTTGACACATATCACCTTACTTCATGGAAACAGTATTCCCTGGTGGCTAAGGCCTTATTGAGCAGGATAATGCGCCCTGCCACAAAGCAAAAATGGTTCAGGAATGATTTGAGGAGCACAACAACGAGTTTTAGGTGTGGAATACATTTTACAATCTTGCTAATTGCTTATAAAGCCCTGAATGGGTTGGCTCCTCAATACTTGAGCGAGCTCATATCACATTATAGTCCTTCACGTCCGCTGCGATCTCAAAACTCTGGCCATTTGATAATACCTAGAATATCAAAATCAACTGCGGGCGGCAGATCCTTTTCCGGTTTAGCGCCCAAACTCTGGAACATTCTACCTAGCGTTGTTCGGGAGGCAGACACACTCTGTCAGTTTAAATCTAGATTAAAGACCCATCTCTTTAACCTGGCATACCCAATACAATATTGCATTTCTATAATTCAAATCCGTTAAAGGATCTGCTGCTAACATCTTGTGGTCTAGTGGGGTCCATGACTTGACGGGTCAGGGCTGTTTTGGCAGCAAAAGGGGACCAACACAATATTAGGAAGGTGGTCATAATGTTATTCCTGATCGGTGTGTATACACACACACACACACACACACACACACACATATACATATACATATACATAT